ATTTCACTCGTTTCTCGTATCGTGGCTCCAGTGTTTCCTCAGCAAGTGAACCATCTCTCCGTCTGAGTCGACGGTATCCTATCTCAGCCATTCCTTGTGAATGCCGGTGTTACCCAAGGTTCCATACTTTCGCCACCCTCTTTCTTCCATTTATCAATGATCTTTTGTCCAAAACATCTAATCCCATTCACTGTTTTGCTGTTGATTCCATTGTTCTCGTTCTTACCATTTAACCCGTCAGGCGACTATCAACGTCAATCACGATTCATGTCATTAGTGCTTCTCTTACCTCCGATCTCGGACTGATCTCTGCATGATGTTATACAAACCATGTGCCTTTTAATGCTTCTAAAATATCTCTCCTCTTCGTCTCTCTTTTGCATGTCCTTTTTTCTCTCCTATTAGGTTTTGACTCGCTACCCCTTCGTTCCACAAATTCTCCCTTACGGGTTTATCCATGAATCTTCTCTCTCCCTTTATTTCCACACGTGTCTTTCGCTCTGCGCATCAAGTCGGTTTTCTAGTCCGTGCAAACCGCATATTTTCACCCAGTTACCTTCGTTTATACCACGCTCAAATCCACCCGATGCTCGAATACTACACTCACATATGGGATAGAGCTCTTTTCCGTTCTTTCTCTCTTCTACCGTGTTCAACCTAAGGCCATCCGGCCGATCGACGAACCGTCTTTAACTTCCATCCTGCAGTCGCTTTCCCATCACCGAGCAGTTGCTTTATCTCTTTTCTGTCGTTACTATTTTGGTTTCTGCTCTTTTGAACTAGCTTCGGTGGTTCCGCTCCCACTGACCTTTCCTCGTCCGCCTCGGTCTCTGGTTTGTAGTCACCCCTTCTAGATTACTATCCCCTCTATCTTCCAGTTGTCTTTTCTCCCTACGATTGCGAAATTCTGGAACACTTCCCACCTCCATGTTTCTAAACCCTTGGATTTCTAACTCCTTTCAATAGCAGGATTAAAAAGATGAATCTCATTTGAATATTGTCCCAAATACCTTCCCCCCCTTACAGTATGTCGTTGACTATGGGGTTTACCCCTTTTGTTGTCAATCAATTTGTGTGTAATAAAAGAATTTACTGTATTTTTTCACTTTCGTTTAATTGAGAAATTTCAGTTGATCTCGGTCGCCTGCAAGCGCTTGACCTCCATGGATTACACTGTCTAAGTTATGAGTAACGCATGACATCAGATAGATTTCCTCGTCGTGCGATCGTTGCTGAGACAGTTAGTGAGTGGAATACGACCAAAGGCGGTCAACTGAAGACCTGGTAGGAGATTATGAAAATCCCGACCTTAGAATTTAGTGATAGCGGTTGGGAACCTCGGGTTCAGATGAGTTGATGGCTATGAAGGCTGAATGTCATCAAAAACGGCGCTCATGCATTGACTTACTTTCTACGCGTATCCAGTTTGCTTTCTATACTTGTTTCCATAGTGCTTTTAGCTTCCACTCCTATTCCTCAATAATTGACTAAGTGGGTACCTGAAAAAGAGCAACCGACATCGTGCCGCTACAGTGCAAGGTTGATCGTTGTAAAAACCAAAACAATGAATTAATGAGCTCTCGATAATAATCTTCCTGAATCGAGTAAAATTTGATTATTCATACTTCCATTTGAGTGTTGGCGGAGATGTGGTTACCTTCTATCTTTTTTGGAGGAATGCTAGGCTACTGAAAGTATTGATCTGTTACTATTATCATTATTTACTACACACCCTTGTGTGACGGGGAAACCCCATAGTCATAGGAATCGAAATCGGTAGCCTAAGTCCCGGGACTTGAATTGGTGCACCACGCAAGCCCCCCCCCTCCGCATGACAACTAAGCTGCCTACCACCAAAGGCTGAATGACGATAGCCGGGTTCGGACCATAGAGCCCAAAGTAGACTGAAAACCGCAACGTAAACCGGTTGACCAGCATCGCGTCGACAGAGAATCTTGGAGTGACACATCAGTTCGTTTCCATTGTTACCCATGTCCTTTTTATGCTTGAGGGGTTGCTATCGGAGTGGTTATTATCTAATTTCCTAAATTTGGGTAATCAATGTAGTTTCTGTCTGATCATTTTACGACACATTTTTAGTGCGATTCAGTATAGAAGGAGTAAATCTCATTCACGAGGGAAGAGCCAACCGACACCGTGCTACTTGAACCAACGAACCACATAAGGTTTCACTAAACTAAGCGTGATATTCAAGTTAGGTAGAGGTGATAGGGACCGAATCTTCGAATGCTAATGACAGTAACTTGAAACGCTTGAACACCGTTGTTTTCACCCCGAGACCCTAGTACCCTGGGTTGGATGTGTCAAGAATTGACCGCGTACCGCAAGCTCAAACCTTCTGGTCATCGCCGTGATGCTTTCTTTAATTTTCACCATTGCCATTGATGTGCCGTGCTGCGATCCGTTTTGTTGTCCTTCCATGGAATGTGCATTTTGTGTGATGGATTTCCATGGAATCAATGCTTTCCTTGAGTACCAACTAAACAGCCATTCGCCTTGTTCATGCCTGCCGGGCACAGTTACAAGCAAGCTTGTAAACCTTGTTGAGGCTAGCCGAAGGCATGGCGAAGTGTAGTGACCAAGCTAATGAATACTCTGTCACGCGAAGTCTCGTGTCGAGTTACAGGATGGGGCTCCAACATACACGAGTTTCTTTGATTAGAATCCCGAAAAGATACGCCTCTCAACCGAATTCAGTTGCGGAGCTGTTCAGTTGTTGCTGTTCTTCTTCTTTCATATTCTGAAACAACAGAGCCCAAAGTGGCATGCAATAAGGACATGCACAAAATGTTGACTCGGCCAATCTCGTTCTTACTCCTTTATACCTATTATTGTTTCCGTTTCCTAATCTTTCATACCACGATTTGATTGACAGGTCAATGTTATTTATACCTCTTTATTTGTCATATACATGTATAAATTTACTGATTCACGATTTATTCCAAATAAGTTGAATGTATTAAGAGATGAGCACGTTATTCAGTGAATCTGTCATGTCATTTGTCGCAGTATGGTTCTATTAAACTCTTTCTTGCTATTTCGATTCCTTCAGGTTCGAGAAATTCATCAATGATGATACGTTCAATCCAATTCGGATCTCGAACAAGAGCGATTTGGCCCAATTTCTATCCTTGTATCCCCCGGCCAACACGGCCGAATTCGCCTCCCTACCGTTTCCAAGACAGCTATGCTATTCATGGATGGTTCCGCGAATCTATAAAGCTATTCAAGAGTATGTGGACCTGTGTCGTCGGTTCTGTGCCCATGTGGATTTAGCCTGTAGCGAGTTGGAAGACACGATTAATCGTGCCACAAATGCACTGTTTATCGATTGTCTGAATGTGGTGCTCACAAGCAGTGTACGTCAGTCTGAGCGTATGTTACCCCGTTTGATCCAGTTCTGTACAAATTTGGAAGAGCTGGAAACCGCATGTGGGCATCTGGATGCCTATTTGCAACAGATTGTTCCATCCGGACAGGAGGAGACGTTCCAGGATCAATCTAATGGAACTGCAGTTAACGGAAAGGTGAGTCTCTTACCAGTATTCATGAAAAACCCTGTTTCTGTATGGTGAACTG